CCAGTGTTTTTCGTCTTATACCCGACGGATGAGCGCCTGTCAAACGTCCGCTCGATGCAATACTCCAACGGGATCCGTCCAATGCCACTTTGGCTTTCCCATCTGGCTTTCGACGGTACCTTCGTCGTCATAATCAGTGCCGTTGCTACAGGTCTTCTTTCCATGTCGACGCCCGTCTGGCATGGACTCGGCCTGGTCTTCGTCATCTTCCTTCTGTATGGCATTGCGTGCGCGCTACTCAGCTATGTCTTCTCCATGTTTACAAAGAAGCCAGTTACGGCTTGGTTCTTGATGGCCTTGATGCAGGTCATTGTCTATTTTGCCTACTTCGCTGGCGTGATGGAGATCCAGGCCACCACACCATACGCAAACCTGGAATCCACGATGAACGCCCTGTACTTTGGTCTCGCCATCATATCGCCAGTAGTGAGCTTGGAAAGGACGCTATTTATCGGTCTTCAGCAGCTTGGGTTGAAGTGCAACGGCCACAGCGACGGCTCCCTCTATCTGTACGGCGGGCCCGTCTTGTTCTTGGTTCTGCAAATTGCTCTCTTGTTTGCGCTTCTCATTTGGTGGGATAGTGGCTTCGCTCTGCCTTCATTGCGCCGCGAAAGTCTGGTCAGCGATACAGAGGCGACAGACATGTACACGGCTGATCTTCTTACCGAACGTAGACGGCTGGCATCACCTGACATTGACCTCCGGGTTGAGTCTGTGACTAGGTCTTTTGGCAAGAACCTTGCAGTCGACGATGTCACATTTGGCGTCAAGACATCGGAGATCTTTGCTCTACTTGGACCCAACGGTGCTGGCAAATCGACCATCATCTCGATGATTCGTGGCGACATCAAACCCTCAACATCAGGATCTATAATCGACATCGCCGGCAACCCAATCCTGACCAGTCCCCTTGCAGCACGCTCCAGTCTTGGTGTGTGCCCGCAGTTTGACTCTGCCGACGTCCTCACTGTCCGCGAGACGCTGCGCTTCTTTGCCAAGATAAGAGGAGTCAGGGACGTGGAACATAACGTGTCGACCGTGATTGCAGCCTGCGGTCTCAATGACTGGACTGGACAGTTGGCACAGAAGCTCTCTGGTGGCACCAAGCGCAAACTGTCTCTGGCTGTCGCACTAGTTGGCAACCCCCGTGTCCTGGTCCTCGACGAACCTTCTTCGGCGCTCGACGCGAATGCAAAGCGCGTCATGTGGCGCTGCCTGCAAACCATTGCAAAGCGACGCGCCGTTGTACTCACGACGCACTCGATGGAGGAGGCCGACGCCCTGGCCGACCGCATTGGCATTGTCTCGTCGCGCATGCTCGCTCTTGGCGACCGCGAAGACCTGAAGCAGCGTGCAGGCAGCGAATATCACACTCATCTCGTGTCGCGCTCAGCACCTTGCACCACACCGCGTGAACTGCAGAAGATGAAGGAATGGATTGCTGCTACCTTTCCCTTGGCGAACGTTAGTCGCGAGACGCAGGGCGGTCAGGTCAGATTTGAGATTCCGGCTGACGGTAATGATTTTGCAGGCTTGATTAGGACATTGGAGGGCGCGAAGGACGAGCTGAATGTGGAGTTTTATAGCGTAGGTAAGGCAACTCTGGATGAGGTGTTTGAAAAGATTGTTAAGCGGTACGGAGATGTAGCAGAGACTTAATTATATAGCTAGAATAATAATGAGAGCAGAGCGGCCTCAAACTTTCTATATGCGCAGTGTCCACGACCACCGCGACACTTTCAACCACCTCGTCAGCACCAAAAACCCTGTAGCTAACAACATCCCTCCACCGCCCACAAACCAAACGCCCCAAAATTCCCTCCGGACATCCTCAACCGCTCTACCTGAAATACCAGCACGTGCATCTCTCTTCGCTGCCCCCGCAACCGGACTCCCAACCAACCCCCCAAACGCCGCAATCGAATAGGCCATTCCCATCCGCGCCCCCAGCTCCCCCACGTCGCTCGTCAACGCCGCAATAATGGGCGCAGGAAGACTGACCATCCCACCGGAAATGAACCCATAAACGACCGAAATAGCGATAAGACTAGGTTTTTCTACGGCGAGTGGGAAGATGAAGATGACCAAGGATGAGAGAAGACAACAAGGCAGCATGATGTTCACGCCACCGAAGCGGTCGGCGAGGTAGTTAGGCGCTAGACGACCAAGAAGGGAGGAAGCGTTCATGATGCTGAGAAGGGAGAAGGCAGATTCGGTATCGAGAGAGAGCTTGAGCGCATAGTCTTGGATGTAGAAGAAGGGGATATATGCGGTGGCCATCATGAGTGTGAATGCTGGGGTGATGTTAGCTCTTTCCGCTCTCGAAAGAACTTTCCAAGGATGAGTAGGTTTATGAGGGAAAAGAAGATTACTAACCAAAGACAAATGCAGTGTAGCTTCTATCCTTGAGCATTCGAATGTTTAATATTGACCCTTTCCTAGGCGCTCGAGGTCTCAGCCGCATGACCGCGAAGCATACAGCCATGCATCCGAGGATCAGGAATGCGAGGGCACGCACAGCCCAAGGAAAGCCTATTGTGACAAAGAGGCGGCGCATCATGAGTGGATAGAGTATACCAGCTGAGCCGGGATTTACCAAGTTAGAATATGTCGTTGAAGCAGGATTAGCGACAGCGGCTTACCAAGACTACTTCCTGTCGCCGCAATACCCGTTGCAATCATCTTTTTCCTTTTCCAGTACAACGGGATAACCGCAACACTCGTCAAGCCAAGCAAGCCACTACCTAGACCTACACAGACGCCTTGCGCCAGGAAGATCTGCCAATACTTTGAGCACTGTGCTGTCGCAAAGAGGCCCCCTACTTCGAAAAGAGTTCCGAGTGCGATGAGAAGCCGAAGGTGTCCGCGGTCGAGCATTATCCCAGCGGGTATGCCAACCACCATAGTGAGAAATAGCTGAATAGATCCTATCCAGGATATCGCTGAAGCGCTGTATGTTGGGAGTAGGAAGTTGACGTAGTATGTTTGGAATACTCCGTAGGAGTTTGTTAAGCCCCTGGCGGTGTTTGAGGTCAGTTGTTGTAGAAAGGAGGGTTAGGATATGGTCGAGACTTACCAGGTGTTCCAGAAGAGAATCCAGCTTCCAAACACCTGAAGCCAGGCTACTACACCGCCATCCATACGGGTTTCATGATTGCACTCTTGCTGGGGATGGACGTTTTCGTTGTTCGCCGACGTGTTGCATAATCTAGTACCCAGATCTTGGGTATGTGTATTAGGGTACCTTTCGGCATCCTGACGTATTTCGTTGTCCTTATTGATGGTCGACATGTGAGGGCAGCAAAAGTCTGCAGAATCACAGCTCCGCTTGAGAATCTATTGAAGCACACGCAGAGAAGAAGCTTGATATGAAGCCGCGTCAAAAGCGTGTCGTACCTTTTGACGACTCATACCGTCGGACAAAGGTTGACTACTTGTGCTAGAAACCAGATCACAAACGGAAGGCGAGTGCGTGTCACGGCCACGCCGTATGGCTTGGAATTGACGCCACCACGCCACCTGAACAGCGTAGTATGTTTGGAGTTAATGGTCGAATTAAATGCCGCATTCATAGACCGTATCTTGCACTGTTTTGCGAAGATTAGAAGATGTCATACAGAACCAAGTAGGGGTCGGGGTTACATCAGGACCGGGTATTTCTGCTGTCATCCTGCATTTTGGATGAGACGATAGAATAGGTAACTTTCCATGCGCTCCGATGTCACACCCCACGCGGCGCCTTAGTATACCTATTCCTTCCCACGGAGTTGATTTTCGTTGCGCCTCAAAGGCCTTTGTGTAACGTTTCAGTGGGAAAGGCAGCCAAGGTAGTGAGGGAGAAGGATAGGTAGAGCGGAAAAAGCAGCAGCTCGAGTAGCCCGAGTTGAAGCCAAAACCAACAAAAGAGCGCCTCATATCACCCAGAATAGGGAGCGCAAAGCTCCATCAGGCCTCCGTCACGTACTCAGCACTAGAATTGTGGTGGTCGCTCTACGGCCTGACTTTTGCAGTAGTAAGTTTGGTGTTGCTGGGTGGTTACACGACTCCGGCCATTACGCGCACAGGCACGGTACGATTCGCTGGCCTGATGTCACGCAGCGGAAGAGATTGTTTCTGGAAATTGACGCATGAACGGCAAACGCCTGAACAAATTTCCTAAAATGGAGTCGGGGCCGCTCTTTTGCTAAGCATTGTCCTACATGGCCATCCGGATGCAGCAAATGCTGTGCGCGATGTTGAACGTAAGCTCTCTTGATGCAGGTCGTACAATCATAGGCATACATGGGGGTGGTCTCATTGCTGATGGTATCTAGACTTACACCGCGGTCAGGCGTCTACCGTGTGGAGATTTCCTGGCTTTGGTTTGTGAGTTCTGATTCAGGCGTCCGTGAGATGAGTGACAAGTCAGAACTACGTGCTGAGGTCAAAGCAATACAACTCAACGAGTATATAATGTATCTAAACTGGAGCGTAGTTCAGGAGTCGACTTAACGTCTTCATTGTTCCGCCTCGAGTGCCTCTATCCAGTCAATATGAGATCGATTGCGACTTGGTCCCGTCCTGGAGGACACTACCAGTTCTTCGTGCGGGCTGTCAAACCCAGAGTGCTTTTGTCTGCTCGGTCATTTGCATCGGGTGCGTGGACCCTTCCCAATTCTGTCCAGGATTTGATTGAAGTTGGTGCTAAACCATGAGTAGCAGCTGTAGCGGTGGCCCAGCCCGAGACGGCTACAACGGAGGCGCCTCAGCATTTCCCGTATGAAGCTTTCTTCAAATTCAACATTGATCAGAAGCATCGAGATGGCTCATATCGCCAATTCCGCAACATCAATCGTCTGGCCCAGGAGTTTCCCTTTGCACACTCCGACGTTGAAGAGCAGCGTGTGGACGTTTGGTGCACGAACGACTATGTAAGTAATCAGCCCAACAACACGAGAGTACCTATTAACGAAAGCAACGAACAGCTTGGTATGGGTGGTCATCCCAGTGTCTTACGTGCAATGCGCACCGTGCTTGACAAATACGGCGCGTGTTCCGGCGGTTCACGAAACATTTCCGGGCACAACCAATGGGCTGAAGCTTTAGAGACGTCGCTCGCAAAGTTGCATCGAAAAGAAGCAGCGCTATCCTTCACATCCGGATACGTTGCAAATGAGTCCGCACTGGCAGTATTGGGTGCACATCTCCCCGGCTGTGTCTTCCTTTCCGATGAATCAAATCACTCATCCTTGATCGAAGGCATCAAGATGTCTAGAGCTGCCAAGCTAGTCTGGCGACACAACGATGTTAGAGACCTGGAGAGGAAGCTTGCTTCCATTCCTTTGGAAACGCCGAAGGTTGTCGTGTTCGAGTCCGTATATTCCATGTGTGGTAAGCAAATGAATCGCCCTGTAGCCATCGTCCACATCATCAACATTCTAATTCCGATCAGGTACCGTTGCTCCGATACGTGAGATTGTTGATTTGTCCGAGAAATACGGAGCCATTACTTTCCTGGATGAAGTCCACGCAGTCGGCCTCTACGGGCCGCATGGGGCGGGCGTGGCCGAACATCTCGATTACGATACCCACCAAGGCGTAGGTGGAGATGGACAGAGCATGCTTATGGATCGAATTACCCTGGTCAGCGGAGCGCTTGGTAAAGCGTTTGGCACCATGGGTGGTTACGTGGCCGGGTCCGCATCTCTCGTCGACATGATCCGCTCGCAAGCCCGGAGCTTCATATTCACAACAGCGCAACCACCAGCCGTTATGGCAGGAGCGAGAGCTGCGGTCGAACATCTCTACTCGCATAACGACTCACGCAAGCAGCTCCAGCGCAACGCTCGTAGTGTCAAGACGGCGCTACGCGAGCACGGTCTCCCAGTCTTGCCGAATCAATCCCATATAGTGCGTCTGTTGATTGGAGACTCGGTAGTCTGTAAGAAGGTTGCAGATATTCTGTTTGACGAGTACAACATATACGTACAGCCGATCAACGCCCCAAGCGTACCCAGAGGACAGGAAAGGTTGAGAATAGCACCAGCGCCAGCCCATACGTCCAAGCAGCAGGATCACCTAGTGAGTGCATTGGTGGAGATCTGGGACAGATTGAAGCTGCCGAGCCTGAAAGACTGGCAGCAAGATGGAGTATCACCGCTCTCGGAGGTGTTGAGGGAGGATGAAATGGATCAGATATGGACACCAACTCAGCTTGGTTTAGAAACATGGAAAAAGCGTAGCCCGGAGCGCTCGCAGCTGTGTGCGGTTGAAGGGGAAGACACGAGGCTTGGGTGGCACTGATTATGGCGAAGAGGTCTGTGTTCTTTTGAGCAGTAGCTATCGCAATAACGTAAATGACATCAGCACTACCGCCTAGTCTGGTGGAATTCCAGCCAGCACAGGGAAGCTGGCCAAGTTACTTTCGCGTTCTATCGTCAATGGGCAAACCGATTTAAATGTTCTGTCCTCTGCCGATTTCGCGCACGCGACCCCGGTATTCGTCCGCACCACGGTGTGCCCACCACGAGTCAAGGATACCGCAGTAATGATGATATATTGACAGAAAATGCGCATAACCGGACACGCGCATTCAGGAACTCATTTCGCCGTGTGTTGTTCCGACGCCCAGGAGATGTCGCATTTCTAAGATGAGGGATGAGGAGCAGCGCGTGGCGCGATTCTAACTAGCGTGCTTGGCATAAACGTGACGCGCGCGTGTGGCACCTGCCTCCTTTCGCGCGAAGGTTGTAACAGCACCATCACATTCTATGTTATCCTCTTGATCCATTGCGCTTCTTTTCCCATCCAGACAATTCACGCGCCATCCTGCGAAACAGCAGCTCTGGAGCCACCCGAGGTCTGCACGCATCGACCATGTCTTCCGAGCGCGTCTACAGCGGCAATATAATCTGCTCCCATCTTTGCTGGTCTGGAAGTACCATTCACGCATCTATCACCCCAAAGGCACCAATTCGGCTGTCTCTACCCCGAGGTTAAATGGCGAAAAGGTCTTCGCCTTCCCACAAACCTGTCGATCTACCCCACCTCCACAGTAGCTCCACTCCTGCCCATCACACACGAGACTCGCCAAGGACACACCAGCCTCGTTCAGGACGACCTACATTACGTTCTGTGGACACCTTCTTGCGTGCGGGCTAGTCGACGGGTATGCTACCGCAAGTGACATGGTGAGCCGGGTATTGGACGGGCCACGGCCCGTTGCGGTCAAGCCGTAGCCAGGTACCTGGTCGAGACATGCAACTACAAAATGCTTGCCCGTCGGATGGTCAGGGAGAAAATCAAGCCTCCCCTCTGGTTGCGACTTCTTCCGCTCTTTGCACCATCTCACAATGTTTGGGGCCTTCATTGGCCTTGCTGGCCTTGTCAGCTATGCCACCGCCCAAAGCGACTCTGTCAAAGTCAAGTGGCTTGAGGATACACCAGAATACCTCGCTGGCGTGACATTCGGCCTACCGTGGCCTCGAGGACAGCACCTTGCGAACGCAACAACCTTCACCGTCTCTGGGGATGCGGAACTTCAGTCGTGGGTAACAGCATACTGGCCTGATGGCTCGCTGAAGTGGACCGGACATGCCCTAGGAGCTAGCGACGCCCCAGCCAGCGAATATACAATCACAGCTTCTGGTGCAGGAAACTCCTCGACTTCGCTATACCAGCGTCAAGCCAATGGCATCCAAGTCACCGACTCTGACAACACCATCGTGGTTAATACCGGCAAAGTCTCAGCAACCTTTCCCAAGTCGGGAAACATTCTGGTTTCCACCATTGAAGCCGGCGGAAAGACGGTCGGAAGCAACGGCCACCTCGTCCTGCGCTCTCAAAACGGTACTCCTGATGACAATGAAGATGGCAAGCCAACCGGCATCGACTACTTCAGCTTCACCAGCAAGATCTCGAACGTCACTGTATCGGAGGAGAACAGCGTTCGATCATTAGTCACAGTCAACGGCATCCATACTATCGATGGAGATGGCGTTCATGACGACTGGATACCCTTCACCGTTCGGTTTTACCTTTACGCCAACTCCGAAGCAATTCGGGTCATTCACACCATCATCTATGATGGAGATATGCATAAAGACTTCATGTCGGGTATCGGCATCCGCTTCGATGTTCCCCTAGCTGAAGAGGAGTTCTACGATCGTCATGTCCGGATCGCGGGTGTCGATGGCGGAATGCTGCATGAAGCCGTCAAGGGCATTACCGGTCTACGTCGAGACCCAGGTGTCGACATTCGATCCGGTCAGTTCAACGGCACAGTTTTGCCACCGAACTCTACATGGGATCAGAGGGTGACCACTCGTTTACAGTGGATCCCAACGTGGAGCGACTATCAGCTCACACAACTCTCACCAGATGGCTTCAACCTCAAGAAGCGCACGAAGGCTGGCCAAAGCTGGGTCAAGATCCCTGGAGGCACACGCTCAGGTGGCCTAGCATATCTCGGCGGCGCTACGGTTGGCGGCCTTGCCGTGGGCCTTCGAGATTTCTGGAAGAAGTATCCTACCAGTTTAGATATCTCTAATGCTGCAACTGATACTGGGTCAATCACCATGTGGCTGTACAGCCCTCAAGCAGGGCCCATGGATATCCGCCCATACCACGACGGACTTGGACAAGACACCTACAAACAGCAACTAGACGCTCTGGATATCACATACGAAGACTGGGAAAGAGGCTACGACACTCCCTACGGCCTTGGCCGCACCAACGAGCTTTACATCTACGCGTTTGACAAGACTCCATCCGCCAAACACCTTGCAACGCTCACCAACTTCACCAACAACCCACCCGTTCTCATTCCTGAGCCAGAGTACATGCGCGACACCAAAGCGATTGGGTCGTACTGGGACGTGCCTGGTGCTGTGGATTCTGCGCAAGCAAAAACTATCGAGAACAACATGGACTTCCTGATCAAGTTCTACGAGGACCAGATCGAGCAGCGTCGCTGGTACGGATTCTGGGACCACGGAGATATCATGCACACCTATGACAACGATCGTCATCAATGGAGATATGATGTCGGTGGCTATGCCTGGGATAATTCGGAGCTGTCTCCTGACCTCTTCTTCTGGGACTTCTTCCTCCGTACCGGCAGAGCAGATGCTTACAAAATTGCTCACGACCAAGTACGGCATGGAGGCGAAGTTGACTCATACCATCTGGGCAACTTTACTGGGCTCGGGACGAGACATGGCGTCCAACATTGGAGTGACAGTGCCAAACAGGCTAGAATCTCAACTCCGGTCTACCGCAAGACATTTTACTACATCTCCGGCGGCGATGAGCGGACTGGCGACCTGGTAAGTGAGGTCATGGATGCTGATAAAGCCTTCCTTCGCGTAGATGCGAGACGCAAGGTGCGAGAACCGGGTATTGTATACAATCCTGATCCCGAAGCGCTGTTCCTCAACTTTGGCACCGACTGGGCTGGTATTGCCCAAGCATATCTTATCGAGTGGGAGCGCCGCGGGCCTCGATGGGAAGAAGCTCGCAAAAAGCTCGTCGAGTCCATCATGACATATCCAAAGCTCGAGAACGGATTCGCCACTGGCGAAGCTTTCTACAACAGCCTCACTGGTGCGTGGGCACCGCCGCCGACAGACCCGAACAACACTGGCAACGTCACGGTTTCGCATCTGTCTGGTGTCTTCGGCGTCCTTGAGACTATCGATCAGCTTATGGATCACTTCGGTGCAGAGCAAAAGAATCTCACTCAACCTTTCTTCGAAGCATTCTTGGACTACTGCTACTATTACGGCGCCGGGAAGGCTGAACAGAAGGCTCGTTATGGCAAGGACTTTGGCACTTTAAGTTTGATGCAGGGCCACTCACGCTTCACCGCATATGTCGCCAATCATCGCAACAACGCGACACTCGTTCCAAGAGTTTGGTCAGAGTTCTTGGGCGATGGTAGTAAGGATGGGCTTGCACCGGGTGCTCCATGGGCGAGGGTGAGGATCGATGGGAGTGATGCACTTTCTGCTGTCGATGAAGCCACATGGGTCAGCACGAATGCCGCAGCGCTATACGGCGTTGCTGGTATTGAGAACCTGGCTCTCGTAGGCGCACCCGACGTGAGCACCGTTGGGGGTGGTAACGCGACAAAGGGGTCTATGTAGTTGTAGGTACTTGTATTAGCTAGACTTCTTCCCTGCGAACTACCGCCACATTCCTGTCTCTATGCATGCTATCTTCCTTGGCTTACTGTCGGCCGAGCGCACTAGCATTGATCACGCTCTGTACGACGTATTCCACTCTAACGGTCCGATGACCCCGCGTGGCACGGTCCGGATAAAAGTCGGCGTCGTGGAGAACACCTGAAACTGTGAGTAGCGAGCGGCATGGCCCCTGTGACGGGTCAACGCAACTTACCCCGTTGCCATCAGGACGCCCCTGAAGTATGGGTTGATGCACAGCAGGCTGCTTCAATACACACCGAAAAAGATACGAGGGGAATACAAATAGAAAGCATTTGTCACCGTGACATTCCGCTGCCCCCGACCTTCAACCGCCACTTCTCATGATGGGCATCCTCACGAAACAGAGCACGTTTCCTAGAGTATCTGTCGTCATTGGGAATCTCTCTGTAGCGAAATTCGTATCTCTAGCCATTGCGTTTGTTTGTTTGCACTGATTCGCTTTCTAATACCCGCATATTCTAACATTGGCAGATTGTTATACGATGGGTAGTCAGAGGCATCTACCGAGTCTACTTCCATCCGCTTAGCCGCTTCCCTGGGCCAAAGTCCTCTGCTTTTACGCGCCTACCGTACCTCGCTGCCATAGCGAAAGGTGAACTACCGCGACACATTGCTCAGCTCCACAAACAGTACGGAGAGGTAGTGCGCATCTCGCCCGACGAACTCAGCTTCACCAACCCAAAAGCCTGGCGCGACATCTATGGTTATGGGTCAAAGGAAGGACCAGGCTCCGCGCCGCCCAAGAACTGGAACCGGCAGGGAAGTTCTCCTAATGGAGCCAACTCACTTGTCGCAGAGCAAGACAACGCCGAACATGCGCGGATCCGCAGAATCTTCTCTCCCGCGTTCTCTGATCGAGCGCTCGTACAGCAGTCACCGCTATTTACCAAGTACGCTGATCAACTCGTCCGCAACTTGAGAGAAAGTGTCCAAGCGAACGCGGTCGACCTCGTCCGAATGTGTACGTTAGATTTACGTGAAAACGCATGTGAGACAAGCACTGACTTTGTACAACTATCTCTAGACAACTTCACCACTTTCGACGTCATGGCCGACCTAACATTTGGCGAACCTCTACATCTGCTCGATAACTCAGAATACAATTCCTGGATCCAAGTCATCTTCAAAGGCATCAAGCGCGGCACGCTAATGAGCATCTTCTTCAACTACTACCCGCTCGCCAAGTTCATGCTATTTACATTGTTAGGTAAACGGATTGCGACATTTCGGAGAGAACATCACAACTACACCGTAGAAAGAGTCACCAAGCGACTTGAAAAGGGACGAGTGTCCGAGGGTGTCGATCTGTGGGACCTGGTTCTCCAACAAGAAGACAAGGGTAAAGCGGGTCTAACCCGCCCTGTAATGGATATGAACGGCGAGTTGTTCATGCTAGCTGGGACCGAAACGACAGCGACGTTGCTCAGTGGACTGACCTACTTGCTTCTGGCCCACCCCGAGTCAATGGCGAAGCTCGTGAATGACATTCGGACGGCATTCAACTCATCAGACGACATTAGTATGGAAGTCACCGCTGGCTTACCCTATCTCAATGCGTGCATCAAGGAAGCGTTCAGACACTATCCTCCTGTACCGATTGGCTTGCCGCATCTCACTCCTGCTGAAGGTTCGACTATCTGTGGATATTACACTCCTCCAAATGTACGTTGTCATCTCCGTCACATATTGTCAAGCAGCTGTCTAACACTTAAGTCCTAAAGACGAATGTTGCAGCCTCTCATCTGGCAATGTACAACTCTCCCGACAACTTCAGCCTCCCCGAACGTTTCATCCCCGAGCGCTGGCTGGGTGACCCACGCTTCGCCTCCGATGAACGCTCAGCTCTCCAGCCGTTCCATGTAGGTCCAAGGGACTGCCTAGGCAAGAAGTAAGCAACGCTGCCCTTTGGTCTCTGAAACAGCGCAAAGATACTAACATGTTGTTACTAGCATGGCCCTCCACGAAATGCGCCTCATTATGAGCAAAGTACTGTTTAACTTTGATCTCGAATTACTCCCCGAATGTCGGAATTGGATTGCGGATCAGAAAATATACTCGTTGTGGGAGAAGACCCCATTGATGGTTAAGATCAAGGATGCAGTAGTTGTTTCGACGTAACTGCGCTGTGGATTCAGATATACGCCAAAAGATAGCCTGGAGGCTTTATTGAATAGAAGCAAGACAAGACTCTTTCTCTTTCACTACATGTGTTGACCGTAGTTACATTTGCTGTACGCTAGTACTATCACAGCGTTTGTCTCACCTCCGCACTGACGCCGTCCCCCGTTTGCAATTTTTCCTGCATCTCACTCTCATATCTGACCTCCCTGCCAGCGCGCAAGCGCTTTCAAGACACGCTGCCACCTACCTACACGGCTCATGGCATTCGCAGCCACGGCAATGATGGCCGCCCGACATTCCTCCTTGACGATCAAAACACTCAGCAAGGTCCCAGACGTGGATATGTACGAAGATGTTATCCAATTAACGACACCACTCCAACTCCAACCACCTGTATCCATCTACATCAAGAGCGACTCACCATATCGGGTCACTCTCATAAGGGGCAACAGTATCGACGTTGACGCTGGCCCTGAGTTCTTCACCAAGATCACGTCCTTGAGGCCGCTCGTCATTGCGTCGTCAGCACCGCTTAAGTCCGCATTCGAAGAGGGATGGAACAAGCTGCCAGCCGAGCTGAAGGTCCTAATCCTTGAGTTTAATGTGAAAGCCGAGAATCGCGTCGGCGCACGCAACAAGGGAGTCTACCACCCAGTCGTCCATTGTCGGCTGCTTCCCCACCTGACCATGACACGCGAAATCGCCGCAATAGCGCGAGAGATCTTTTGGACCAAGAACGAGTTCCATCTAGAGCCGTCCTATGAGTCCGTCGTTATCGGAAATGGAAGGTTGGACACCCGCCTCTACTTCGCCTATCCCCCACAAGCATCTCACCATCTCATTCGACGGCTCGCTGTGCGCATCCGCCCGATGAGGATTGAATGGCTGAAACTTGCTAAGCTTGCGAACGGTGACTACGGTTTCGCTGCGCTTCGCAACATCGTTGTCGAGTTGGACATGCGGATTGTGCACTTGACCAGTGCGAGAAAATTCAACGACTTTCTCACTAACACCATCGGCGATGGAATCGATTTTCACTGCGCTGGAAATTTGAAGTTCCTTGCTCCACAGAAAGCCAAGGGCAGGTCATCAGAGGTCTCGTTCGAGGATGTGAAGAAGATGTTCAACGGCAAGATCAGGTTCGCGGTCGAGGAGACCAAGGCGGAAGGTTAAAGACTGTCGCTGCGTCTGGTAGGAGCCACAACGGTTAACAGTTCGTGGGAGCAAAGCATGGTTTCGAGTTCAGGGAGAGATTGGTGGATTGTAACAGGAGGCGATGAAGAAGTCAAGGAATGGATAATGGAAGGACATGAGGGTAGTGATATGAAAGCAACTTCTGTGACGTAACCCAGCAGTGTGGTCAGTTACTTTCTTAGATATTATGCTTGGGTTGATGTAATGACGTATATGGTTTTGAGATCCGTATCATACCTTGAGCACCTGTCTGCTCATAACGCCCACTGATCCTGGCTGGCAACACATCATCCCTCTTCGATCATGTGGCCTCTCCATCCGGAGCAGGTCTTGTGCCATAGCTCTTTCCATGTGGACTTATTTAGTCTTCATGGAGCCCTTGCCAGCCTTCGCGTCCTTGACCTTCTGCTTCTCTTTCTCCGTCTGCGGCAAGTCCATGCTCTTGGTGCCGAACTTCGGAAGGAACTTCCCGACCCGCTCCTGGTAGACCTTGTATTCAGGGTACTTGCCCGCGCTGAGCAACTCAGTCAACCAAGTGCTAGCCTGGAACAAGATCAGGTATCCGAATGCACCGGCGAACGCCCAGTTGAGGTAGGTCTCAGTCTCCAAGCAGCACCATTGGTACAAGCATACCCAGAAGGATTGTTCGGCTGCGAAGTTGGGGTGGCGCGACCAGCTGAAAAGACCAGTAGTGTTGAAGCCACGGTCTAACTGTTCACGAGTGTATTTCTGGTCGGATGGTACCTTGGCAGTCTTCTGGTATGCGTTCCTCGCTTTGTAAAAGTTCCATTGCGCTTGGTCGGCAAAGAACTCGAACACGACGATAGCGAGCATGGAGCGGCCGAATAGGGTATCGTAGGTTGTGATGTCGTTGCCCTTGATGCGGTTGACGAGGAGGAGGATGTACGTGGGCGTGGTGATGAGCCAAAGAAGAATCTACCATGATCAGTATCTCGTACACTAATAGCAAATGGTAGGAGTATACTTACATTCTGTCCTAGCGAAATGAATGTGACATTGAAAATGAACATGCCGGGTCCGCCGACGTAGTCCTTGACAATTTCCCATCGGTAGTCTTCGCTGCCGACCTGGTATCCGCCCTTCCGCCAATAGTTGAAAGTCAAGCGAGCACCCCAGATGATTGAGACAGCCATGATATGGTCCAGCTTCATGGTGGGCAGGCCGTTGAGATGAGCCCATAGTGCGTAATGCACGTTGTAGAGGGCAGGCAATATACTCCAGATCCTGTCAACCTGCGAGTAGTTCCGGTTGATCTCGGAGACGGCAAGCACGATCGGCGTGACGAACATCGTGGCAAATGCCAGCGATGACATGAGTGGGTTGGTGTTGACATAGAGGTCTTTCAATGCCTGCACATCGGTGATATGCGCTGCAACCTTGTACGGGAGGTCGTAGAATTGTGGCAGGAACGGCTCGACCGTCTTGAAGTAGTCGACGCAGTCGGGCAGCGTCTTGATAAGCGGCAGTGCCATGTCGGTGTATGTACGGGGGTCAGGCATCGTTGCGATGAGGGTTGGTGAAGATGGGGATGTTGCGATGCGCCCCTCGCAAGCTGGCGTTAGCGTTTGTTGTGTGAAGCGGACAATGACCTCATGAAGACCTGTTTTCCCTGGCATCCCCGGCTTAGCGAGCTGCGATAGCGTCCGTGCGGCTGATAAACGCGCTAGCACGCGCCAAGGCTGATCTGACGCGTCTTCACATGACCGTGAGGATCTTTCCCCACCATCATCTCCAGACCCACGTTGAGCCTCTTTCGCGGTTTTAACGGCACTCCAGAGGTATGACCCGGGTACTGTGCGTGGCGGAAAAGCCTTCGATCGCAAAAGCAGTCGCAAATCATCTGGGCGGCCAAGCCCGAGCAGTAAGTTCAGCATGTCGCATTGACCTTCAACATATACCTTGAAAGTTCACACTTGTGTTTGGTTGATATTCCGATAGCCGGAGAGGATGGCAGATGCGTTCAGCTCATGTCTTGGTATCCGGTGCAAGGATACGGGCGCCTCCATGGCCTGACGTGCAGATCGGACGCAGGCTGACTTCAGATAGGAAAGTGTCCGCGGTATCCAGTGGGTCAAGAATTACAAGTTTGATTTCCGCTTCCAAAACTGGGGGCAATGCTCTGTAACGTTCACATGCGTTGCCGGACATATCGTTGCGCAGGACTTCAACGATCGATTCAAGAAATGGCACTCATGTCAACCCGCAGCACTGTTCGAGGCACCCATAGTGTCGAGCATAGCAGAAGTGGGTGATTTGGTTCATTCTGACGAAGCTGGCTAATCCACATACAGGACAAAAAGGTTGTAGCGAGCAATATCGAAGCGCAAGCCAGGTGGGCGAACATCTTGTTCATCTGGACTGATTGTGATCGCGAAGGCGAGCATATCGGCACCGAGATTCGTGATATTGCGCTGAAGGCGAACCCAAACATGCAGGTTTGGAGAGCGCGTTTTAGCAACATCGAGAGAGCGTCTGTGACACTGCAATATCTTCATGAGCATCAACTAACGTGACCCAGGCATGTTATACAAGCCTCACAGAACCCGATCCGCCTAGACGAGAAGCAGGCTCAAGCTGTTTCGGCTCGTATTGAGCTAGATCTGCGGCTCGGTGCAGCCTTCACACGCATGCAGACACTGGCGCTACAAAATATGATTCCTCAGCAGGGCGAAGAGCGATTCAAGTTGATCAGCTACGGCTCCTGTCAATTTCCAACGCTAGGGTTCGTTGTCGATCGCTATCTGCGAGTGCGAAATTTTGTTCCTGAGCCATTTTGGTACATCAAGCTCGCACACAAGAAAGAGGACATTGAAGTCAAGTTTAACTGGCGACGAGGTCATCTTTTCGATCGTATGGCGGTCGTCCTTATCTTCGAGCGATGTCTGCTCTCAAAAACAGCAAAAGTGATCAAGATGGCTAAGAAACCCACAAAGAAGTGGAAACCATTACCTCTTACGACAGTCGAGCTGCAAAAGAATGGAAGTAGGTTTCTTCGCATGACTTCGCAGGACGTCATGAAAGTGGCCGAAGACCTGTATACGAAAGGATGGATCAGTTACCCGCGTACTGAGACTGACCAATTTGATCGTGGTATGGACCTGCGAGCGCTTGTCGGAAGGCAAACACAAGACGGTCGCTGGGGTCCGTTCGCACAGAACCTCATGAACGGTGGCTTTCATCAACCTCGCGAGGGCCGCAACAACGACAAAGCACATCCGCCCATCCATCCCGTCAACTACGTCGCGTCATCTCAGCTCAACGACAGAGAGCGCACCGTGTACGAATTTGTCGTCCGCCGCTTTCTCGCCTGTTGCTCTGAAGACGCTGTCGGTGAAGCCACAGACATTGAGATCGAGTACGGAGGCGAGATATTCCATGCACATGGCCTTACCGTGATTGCCAGGAACTATCTCGAGGTCTATCCTTACGACAAGTGGGAGAGCAGTCAAGTGCTCCCCCAGTACACGGTAGGTGAGACTTTCGAGCCTACAGAAGCGAACATGCTGGACGGACAAACGTCGGCACCTAGCTACCTCACCGAGCCCGAACTCATCGCCCTCATGGATGCAAACGGCATCGGCACAGATGCGACCATGGCCGAGCATATCGCCAAGATCAAGGAGCGCGAATACGTCATTGCAAGACTCAAAGCGGGCGGCGCAGCAGCAGCCGCAGATGGCGCAGGCGCGGGTAGAGGCCGCGGCAGAGGAAGAGGAGGGGGACGAGGGGGACGTGGTGGACGAGGCGGCGCAGCCGTAGGCCAGAACAACGGAGGAGGGACGGGCGGAATACAAGAGTTCATCCCAACGACTCTGGGTATCGCGCTTATCGAAGGATACGACAACGTGGGATTTGGGACAAGTCTCAGCAAACCATTCCTCCGGAAAGAAGTAAGTGGGATATTGGGCTTTGATGACCCGGCATGCTCGCTAACACATTGGGCAGATGGAGGTCCAGATGAAAGCCATCTGCGAAGGCCGCACTACGCGCAACGAAGTGGTGCATCAGAACCTCGAGCAGTACCGGGCCGTTTTCACACGCACGGTGCAGCAGATCAACGTCCTCAAATCGGTACGTCGATTTTGACTCGAACTTTTGTGTGTGTAGTCGCATCGCTAACGGAATCCCCACCCACTAGGCTATCACGAAGTATGTTGTCAACGCAAATCATGGTTGAGGCATTATCACGTTGTCTGGTCGTAACGCTCACGTCCCTCGGTTGAAGGCAAAAAGCTCCGATGGGTTGCGCAAGCTCTCTGTAGAGTTTGGCGATCTTCTGCGACGGGATGTCTTGCAGTGAGGCCTGTCGGGCAAACACGTGTGTCAGACGGTGGTTGCTGGCCGCGACAGCAGGCCCCCTCACCATGTGCCTGAGCCTCTCATTAGTAGGCGCATGGCGAAATCGGACCTTTGGATGGTGGGATGGACCCCGCAGCGCGATAATGATAGCGCCAATCGCCGGTGTGGGAGCGAGGCATGGAGAGACGGATGGCCAACGTAGGAAGCCGATACACACAGCATGGTGATATGGGGCATCGGCTGCGAACGGAAGCCACGATCGAGATGGCTGAATGCAGCAGCTGCGAACATCGCGACATCGTTCACGTAGCATTTCGCAGCATTTCAGACAAACCACACGGCTTCACCGCATCGCAAAGACACGATACACTTTGTACTACTCTAGCGTTTCCCTGCTTCTTCTAAGCTTCGAGTCCCTGCTGCTGCGAGGGGCGAGGTTTCATGACGCTTGTGCGAGGTGTGTGGCTGTCAAGGACTCAGTCAGCTGCTTCCGAGCCAATCACAAGGCTGACAGGGGCACGAGTCGTAGCTTCCCGTCAGATGCGCGTGCCTTCCTTGGAACCAGCTGCCTTCGGAACCAAGGAGCCCTTATCATAGCGACCCTGCCTTGCTCGTACGTAGACTCATAACATAGCCCACACCCGAATATTGAACCTCTTTTGATAGCTCGTTTGTACGCTGTTTGCCCGTCTCTGCCTCTACTACCGTTCGCCTCTGCTGCCCCGACACGCTACCTGCATCCTCCCGTTACCGACTCGCTGATCCATCGCCGATCGCTAAACCTCTCGGAACGGTGAAGGCACAAGCTACGTTGCTGCAGCTTGCTATAACAACCCAACGCCAACGCATATCCGCCCCATAACTGCATTTCGCTTGTCGCACAAAGCAGTTCGACCTCTGTCTTCAATTTTACACCCAAACTCCTGCTGCAGCCCGAACACCGTACCGTCGATACCCGACAGTGCAAGCCGAAGCTCCTGGTGCGTTTGCCGCAAGACGAGTTGCATCGCCCTGCAAACTCACCTTCTGAACCCTACCATATCAGAGATTCTGGTTGCTGACTCTTCCGCTCTCCAGACCTCCTTTCCATCCAGCGCGACTCCCGACCAACTCGCGCTTTGACTCACCCGTCAGCCCCTGCCTCCCAACAGTAAACATGGCTGCTTCCGCCCAGAAGCCGATGTCCAACATCGCCATGGCCTTTGGACGCCAGGACAGCGGCCATGCTACTTCGACCGGCACCCTCCCTACGCCCCCGAGCTCCATATCCCCGACGCTCCCTGCGCACAAGCGACGCCCCATGCCCGTCGTCGGGCGCCTGCACACACCAGAAGAGGAGTCTATGGAGATCGATCTTCAGGATGCGGTGGAACATGCGGCCGCGCAGGACCAGCCTTCTGCGCTCTCCAAGGAGGCGCTAGCGGGTTTGGATGCGACGCGCCAGATTACGGCGCTGATGCTGGCCAAGCACCACCTGCCAGACATCATCGAAGGCCACGGCGCAATGCCCATCCGCGAGATGATGGCGCATCTGACACATGCGGTGCCTGGCTTCTCTGGGCTACCCCCTGCGAAGGCCCGTAGGCTAGTCGTTGCGGCGCTGGAACATCGTGCCGGCGGCGGTCTGCACGGAGAGGTCAAGTTCGAGAAAGTCGGCTGGGGACGTTGGAGTGTAGCTGGCTCTGGCTCCCAGGCTGCAGGAATGCCCATCGGTGGTAAGCGCTCTGGAAACGGGCGCGCAACGCCGGCGAGTGTCGATAGCATCGGGGGCAGCCTCCAAATACCCAAGTTGCGACAAGAGCGCGACGTCTACTCGGGCAGCTGGAATGCTGGCTCGTGGTCGCCGCACCGCCAGGGCGAGGACGAAGAAATGGCTGACCAGATGTCGCTGGACGACTCTGAGGGCAGCACCGAATCCGACTCGGCTTCCGACATGGATTTGGAGGAAGAACTTAACGACGACACGGATCAAGAAGACTGGGCGACGATGGGGCCTGAAGCTCTTCGCGAGACCCGCCGCGGTCCGCGCCGAGAACACCGCGATTACAACTATCTAAGCCGAACTCAGACGAGCAACCCGCGCTACCGGAGCATATCCGCCCAGGCCCACTCTCTGCCTCAGCCTCAACCTCACCACGGACGCACTGCGACGCCCACGTACAAACCTTTCCTTACTGTTCCACATGCATCCCACGGTAATCACGTCGTGAACGCGGGCTCTCCTTTGACTTCTTCCGTTTTTAATGCACCAGCTGGTGTGGCCGGCTCTGGCGCTGAGCGCGACGCCATCGAGGCACTCATTGCTATGGGCTCCATGTAGACCCTTTCACTCTACAGCATCGAGCTGTATAGAGCTGGCGAACGTTGCGAAAACGCACAAAGCCGTACGAGACACGACTGTTACACGTCACATACCCCCTACATTCAACATTAGATTATGGCTGCGCATTTATTCACACGCAACAAGGGCTGGAAATGGTTTTGGGTCTGATTGGATTACGTTGGCATGCCCCCCAGGTTCTCGATCTGCATGGTTCTGGTATGCAATTGGGACGATCCGTCAAGTGCTGATGTGGATCATATTTTGGACTTTTTTGTTTACTTTCACCGCTTTATTTTTACCAAGAGATGATTGGGCTATGCCGACATCTACCATTTTGCTCAACTCACACCACACTCTTCCGCGGTATACGCAGTATCTTTATCCATGGTCTGGCGCTTGTCTGGCGTTATGGCGTATGGTTGATGATAGATGATATGATGGACGTGGATCAAACACAGCTTGTATATAGTCTTTTGTAAAGACAGACACCCTACTCCGCTCATTAACTGGCTGAGATGCTAGTGAGCTTCCATGATGCCGATTATGCGCTTCGGCGGTAATGGTTGACTGCAATACAATCCACGCTCGACATTTCATCTCTCGCAAGGATTTGAAGGTTGGGTGTGTTCTACGAGATCTAGTATCTTCTTCGCTTTCGCCACACAATTGTTGCTCCCACACTTGATGCAACTGCATTGCTCCGCCCGGATTCCATAACTTCCATACCCTCCATATGTATGCCTCTTAGATCTGCTCAAACCCCGTCCTTGGAATCTTCTTCAAACACCACCTTACTCCTCACGAGTGCCTCCACCTTTTGAATGCCGTCGGTAATCGAGGGAGTGTTGTCGCTCTGCCACAGCCTCCCGGCGAATGTAAATTCGCCTTTGCATTTAAATACGATAGACTCGTCACAGCTATCATGTATACGCCCAAGAAGCCGCGCGATTGTATCATCGTTTATAGGACTGAACATGGCTCCCCGACAATTGACCACAACATTTACGTATCGCAGGTTCGAAAGTCCGTGGCTTCCCTTGGAGATCATTGACAGAGTTTCCCAGTCGGTATAGAAACCCAGAATGACGTCTACCACAATCTTCCGAATCAACTCACAAGCGATTGGGAACAGATCGCGACCCGAAGGTCTTGTATGATGGCGCGGTATTCGGAAGGTGTTTTGGCCGTAGAATATCTCCTTTGCAAGATCGGCGATTTCGGGAGAGATACGGAGATGGTGGTCGAGAGCCGGCAGAACATTCTTTTCGTACCGGTCGACTGTGTCGCGAAATGCCAGGTTGTAGCTTAGTATCTGAACTTTCAGTTCTGTGGGAAGCTTGGTCCAACCGGTAGCGAAAGACGTGTCGAGCGGCTGGGAAGGTATGAGCCATGTATCGTGGTGAGGTCGGAGGTATACCGCGTTGGTGCAGGTCAATTGTGTGACGCTCTTGATGATGGTACTAGCACTGACTACATGTAACGCCGAGGGCGCGCTGACCCAAAGCCATGATCCTGCAGGCATTTGAAGCGGTGTGCGAATGCAGAGAGGCGAGTCTTGGGACAGACCGAGCGCAGCCGTACATGAGGCAGATGGTGGTGAGCAATCTGGCGGCTCTGTAGTTCCGAAAGCGTGGGCACGCGATGGTGTTTGACTGGTATGGAAGTAAATTACATCCATGGCTTGTATTTCCGAGAGGCAAGTAGAAGCTGACGGGGTAGTTTGGGAGTATGCCCAGATGTGGTGGATTGCTCGGGTTGTAAGGAACTGAGGTGCTCCAGCCTGCTAACAGCGAAAAAGCAGATGTGTAAGGATTAGGCGCCTTGAAAGTGATCAGGCAGTAGCGTATAGAGGGAATCACAATTAGGGCTTCAATTGCACGAACACAATCTTCACTCCGAAGCCCACAGAATTGCGCAATATCTCTCTCACGCCACCATCAGGGAATTTGCTCACCCCGTCGTGTAGGTGAAAGCTTTTTTTCGAATCAAAGAATAGATTTGCATTGAAGCCTTCACTCATTACAGTTTTGAGGCGCGAGGCCTCGAATGGACTCAATTCGAGCGCCTAGAATTCACAAGCTGTATGTCAAGAGCCGTGTAAGCTACGATTCAATATGAACAACATACAAATGCGCTGTGAATTGTACTACAGTCATTGTGAGTGGTCAGCTTCACAGCGAGTAGATACCAATATAAGTCCGAGTTTTATACCAAGATGGAGTTATATAACTAACCTCAGCCTTTGCTCTTGAGGCTTATCGCGCCTTTCAGAGACATCCTAAAAGCAATCGTATCTTCGCAGTACTCCTTGAAAATAAGGTGCACATACTGCACGAGCCATGTCCGCCCCAACCCCAGAGACAACATCAGCGCATGCACAAGGAAAGACTTCAGGGCAAGATGAGGAATTTGAAGAAGTAATAGAAATCCACTGGCCTATGGAAATACCCAGACAAGCTAGTTTCGCCGTGTACTCATCCCAGCCGTTGGTAATATCAGCACCCAGCTCGATGCAAATACACGCGTTGACACCGATCCATATTCAATCCGACAGCAAACTTACGATTTCGCCGGCTGGCCCCGCAACACCAGGATTCGCAAGGGGCTGGAGCAAGTTACCAACCGAACTGAAACTCGAGATACTTCGCAATAACCTCCTGTATCCCTCTCCACTCTGGCCAGCAAACATCAACACCGTAATACGCAGGGAGCTGTTCCCGTACCTGAGGATGACACCAGACATCGCTGAGATGGCCAAATCCGTATTCTACCAAGAGAACAAGTTCGTCATGCAGTTCACCAACTCGCTACATTTTCCAAACTCGATACTGGCGAAGCCTCCCATGGGTATACGGCCTCAGCTCCGTCATATCACTTTCCAGACTCGTCTGTGCGAATTCGACTGGCAGATACTACGAGCAATGTGCGGAGAAGATCGTGCTGGCTTCACGGGACTTGTTCATCTCAAAGTGAGATATTTGTCAGGTGAGGATGCAGCAATCCTCGAACTTGCTAAGGATGACCTGGTACGGAGGCCCATGTCTTTCGACGAGTGCTATTTATTGCGCCGAGGAGAACCCGTGAATCTGCCGTTTGACGGCGTAGTTACGTTTGATCGGTCGGGCTTTGTGGGACGTCGAAACCCTGAGGAGGATGAAGCGCAATGGGAATTGACGCGTCGCGTCGAAGGGTTTGTGACGAGGGATATTACTTTCACTAAATAACAAGCGTGAAATGTAGTGTAGACTACTGAAATTGGATTGATTCATGATAAGCGTGCACGACACCTGTATTGAGTTAGATGACTGCGGTTCCGGCGATGCCTGACGGGGACCTCGGAAAGGTGACGATGTGTGACGTCATCACCCGATTATCTAATCGCCAGCCCCCTTCACACCCCCGCTACTGCTGGCGAAGGACTAGCTGAACCCAAATTCACTCCAAGCTCTAGATATTAAAAAAAACTTGAGACCACGTTGTACATAGTTGGTCAAGCGATCAAACAGCATCGCGAGAAACAGCACCCAAAATGGTGCTTGGTACCTAAGCACATCAGACATAGGTAGGTAATGATTGGCGTTGGCTAGGAGCTAATACCAATGGTAGGATAGCGATTTGGGTAAAACAAATACAGTAACGAAATACATCTTGCAGCAAACGAAGTGCAGACCGCAATGGTAATGCAATTGGTAAAAGAGCAAGCCAAGATTCGTGCACTTCGCGCTCTCCAACCATACTACGTACTAACCATACCAAGTGACAACTCTACTATTTCCGGAGCATGCGCTGCAACGTGTGTTGGATGATTTTCGCGCAAGAACCACCACAAATACCCGATCCGTCGCCACCCGAGCATTCCATACCTCGGACCTCAACCACAATCTTTTTCGCATCGACGTTGCAGGATGTACCTCGGAGCCCCTTTCTAGCATCTTTGCGGCGCTGTTTGAGTGTAAGTCCACACCAACGCCCTGATGAATAACGACCCCTAGCCATGAAGCAAGTCTCGTCTTTACCATCATTTTCAAGAGTGACGATGATCTTGAGCACCTGGGGGTGGAAGTACTGCTGCCAGTGCACGGGATCTGAGGCAGGGGTATCCTCGGGGATACGGGTGACATCAGCCGTGTGTTCACCCAAAGTAAATAGGATCTCGGACGGCTTCCATCTATTAGGGACTAGGAACAGCCAGTCGCTATCTAGCTTAAAGATATCTTAAAGGTACCAAGGGTCGCTATTGTAGCGCTCCAGCTGAAATCGCAGATCTAAAGTCAAATTACGCACTAGTGAGGCGACTAGCAGACTTAGATATTTAAAGCTGTACATCGCTCTACAAGAATTAAAGAGTAGCGTGTTCGTTTTCAATAGCCTAATAACAAATTTATTCTTCTTCTAGTAGACATCTATAGCTAGGTTGTATAACTATTTGTTAATACTAGTAAGTTAAATAAGACAAGCTATATACACTAAGTGTATTAGAGCTGTAATAGGTTTATTAAATACAAGACAATATCTAAGAATTTACATTAATAGCTTATTAGATAAGGCTAGAAATTATAATAGAATAATATTAGTTTACGTTATTTCTACTAATATTTTATAAGACTTAGAAGAAAAGATACCTTAAAGAGCTTGTATAGGCTCTATAATTATTTCTAATATACTATACTATAAAGGTTAAGATATTAAATAAATAAAACAAAATAGTATTTAATTAAGATTACTAGTAGATTACTTCTTAGCTTATACAGAACTTTATATTTAATATACTAGTACTAAATAAACTAGATAATCTAAATAATTAACTAAATAACCTATTACTTATAATAGCTACTTAGCTATTTTTACTATATTTTTTTACTTTTTTTATTTATACTAATATTAAATAAAAATCTTATATTTAGCTAGAATAGCTAGTACCTACTTATATTATACTTTATTATTAAATATAGTACTTAAAATAGCTTACTTATAAAGTATTAGCTAAAAGTCTAGTAGCTAAAGTTAATAAACTAAATCTAATACTACTACTTTTTTAGTAATTAAGAAGTTCTTAGCTACTAAGTTATTACTTATAAGATATTAGCTATATATATAATAGTTTAGTTTCTAGCTTCTTAGGTCTACGTTAGCCTAATATCTTTATATATATATATTTTACTCTTAAGTACTTTTTCTAAGCCTTACTATAATAATATTATAATTTAATATAATATTATTATCTAATCTCTATATAACTTTTATATATTATTATAGTCTCTAATTTTTAATAGTAACCTAGCACGCTAGCTAGTTACTCTTCTAAGATCTACACTAATTATAACTATATTACTAATTCTCTAGTTCTTTATTAGTAATACTCTTATTAAAAATATCTTTTATATTCTCTTCTATAACGCTAGTTCTATTTTAGATATATTAAGCGTCTACCTAGATACTACTCTTTTATTTACTAAATCTACTATAGCTTCTACTACTTATAGTTAGCGTAGCTTTTAGTAGTTTTAGTTCTTATACTATACTACGCTTATTATATAAGAGTCTTTAGTAACTATAGCCTATAGCTTATAAAACTTTTATTAGATCTTTCTCTACTCTTATAAATTCTCTAACTTATAAAAGAATAGTTTTTTCTTATTTCTAGGCGCTTTTAAGAATAGCTTCTAGTATATTAACTTTATAGATAGTAGCTACTTTATAGATTCTAAAGCTAAAAATAATAAAGTTAACCTTACTTAGATCTATTATACTATTAATAGTAACTACTATAATAACTTAGCTAAGCTACTCTTAGATAACTATAAAAGCGTTTTCTTTCTTAAGAATTTACTTAACGTTACTAAGACCTATAGTAGTAGTAATAAGTAGCTCTATTATATATCTTTTACTAACCTACTTAGCTATATTACCTATAGTAGCGCTTATTATCTAGACTATCTACTTAGATATATTAATAAGTCTAATACCTTTTATATAGTTAAGACTAACGTTCTATATAATACTCTTATTACTTATTATAATATAGCTCTAGATAATTATTATAATTATAGAGAAAATTAAGCTAGAAATAATAGATTTAGATAATTAGAATTATAATTACTACTCTTATAAGATTAGACAAGAGTAGTATAATATATATAGGCAAGCGCGTAAAATACTAGTATAAAAGAGAGAAAGTACGTAATTAACCTAATAGGTACTTAAATACTTATTACAATATACTCTCTAGGTAAGCTATATTATATATAGATTATCTATTTTTAGCTACGCGCTACTTATATAAGTATTACATAATTAAGTAGAGCTATACGCGCCTAAGCGCGCGTAATAATAATAAAGCTAGTATCTACTAATATTTTTAGCTTTAATAATTACTAAAATACTAACTATAAGTACTATCTAGAAGCTCTTATCTTACTCTAAAGCGTCTACTAGTTACTATATAAAGCTCTAGTAGCTTATAAGATTATCTCTAAAGTGCTCTAGATACTTATAGTACTAGTTACTACTTCTAGTAAGTAGTCTAACTATAAGCTAATAGCTTATTAGTCTATAAGCTACCTAACTTATTAGTAGACGCTTACTATAGCTATTTATATAAATTCTTTAGCTAATAAGTAGTAAAAATAAGTTTAATAGTATTTAGTAGCTATAGCTACTAGCTAAGCTACTTATACTTACTATAATACTACTACTACTACTACTACTAAAGAGGCCTCTACTTCTTAAAATAAAAAGAAGTAAGCTTTAAGCGTAGTAGTGCGCAAAGAATAAGAGAAGAAGAAGAAGTAGTCTAGGCTCTTTATTAGTACTCTCTCTCTATTATATTTACTAAGAGTAATACTTTATATTAGGTATATCTAAAGCGCGCTTACTAGTTATAGTAAAGAACTTTGCTTTAACTAAGTAAGTAAAAAGAATATTTAGTATAAGTAGTATAGTTATAAATACTTATATAACTCTATATAAGTCTTTAAGCTTCTAAACTACTATTTACTTACACTAACTATTTATAGGCCTAAGATTATAGAGCTAATAGCTTTTAAGTTTATCTACTCTCTCTAGTTTAGAAGTAAGTAGAAATAAAATAAGCTATATATAGCTATTAAGTTTCTTCTAAATAAAGAAAGAGTTTATAAAATTAGCGCTTTACTAATATAGGCTAAGTAGCGTAAGATAGCTTATAGTTATATAGAGACTAAAGCTAAGATAGATAATGTAGCTTTAATAGCCTCTAGTAAAGTTAAGAGCTCTAAGTAAGTATCTTTTCTACCTATACTCTTAGTTTTAACTAGTAAGGCTAAGTAGTTAGAGTATATAGTAGCTTAATAGAAGCTTCTTTACGCTAGCTATATAAAGAGGTAGTAAGCGTTTAGAGAGAAGGTAAGATCTCTTTATCTAGTTATAGAGCGCCTAGAGTAGAGCCTAGTACTACCTTATAAATATATAATTAGACTTACTAATCTTTTTTATACTTATTACTTACCTATAAGCCTTAATTAGTATTTTTATAAGCTACCTATCTAAGGTTTAGCTACTTCTTAAAAGTTTTAAACTTCTACTTAGATAAGTACTTAATAAGTCTATCTACTAATATATTAATAGTAAGCTTATAAAGTACTTTAAAAGAGCTCTTACTATACTTCTAGTAAAGCTATATATTCTAGATATTAATATAGTAGAGCTTAGTAAAGATTCTTTTATTACTTTCTACTATAAGCCTAATAGTCTATTAATTATTATAAAAGATCTACTAGGCACTAGTAATAAGTAGCTAAAGCTTAGTAAATAAGCGCTTTAAGGCTATAGTCTCTTTAGTAATAGCTTTAAAAGTAAAAAGCTCTACCTTAGTAGTTAAGATTATAACTATTAACTAGTAAGTAGCCTACTATATAATTAGGCCTCTAAATAGCGTTATAATAAACCTATAAAAGAAGCAGCGCGTTTTAGTATTATCTATAAAGCTTATATCTTTATAAATCTAAAGCTTCTTATCTAACTTTATCTCTCTACTATATATAATACTTTTATATTATAAGTAGTATAGATATATAATAAGATACTCTACTACCTTAAGATAAGCTAAAGAGAAATTAGTTAGAAACTAAAAGAGCTAAAAAACTATATACGTAACATTAGAGTATATTATAATAGTAGAGTATAATACTAAGCTAATACGCTCTTAATAAGCTTTAATTTTCTACTTTAAAGCGTTCTTTTAGTA